CTTCAAAGTGTAAAGAGAGCTGTGCCACACTTAGCAGGGATTATGTCAAACAGCATCCCAAGCCAGAAAGCTGACAGCACACACATTGCCTCTGAAGAAGGGAAAATAGGTCACACGCGACCCCAAACATGTAAACAGAGTTTCCAGCAGCACGAGCAGAAACCCCAGATTTCGGCACTGCATATGGGTGAGGCTGATGGTCCTGCACACTGTGGAGGGCACGAGCTACGTGAGAACACGAGGCCCTTTAAAATGTGCCTTGAAAGCCTAAAGAAGGTCCTGAGAGCATTTTTATTCACGACAAGCAGAAGTGGAGATGGACAGAACTTTTGCCATCGCTCACAAGTTCTGGGTGGTCGCCTGTTCACAACCTCCAGCTCCACGAGCTTCTCCTCAACGTGGAGCCTCCAGCTCGTTTCACAAGTGCCAGGATATCCCGGCAGCAGCATCCACCCGACACAGCAGGACAGCTCCCACACAGAGCGCGTCAGAGCCGGCTTGCAAGGTAACGACCTAATGCAGTAAATTAATTCCAAAGCACAATTGTTTTCAATCTTCATTTAAACCCAACCTTCGTTAATCTCACTTTAATGACAAAGGAAATGGAAATTCCCTTAATAAAATAAGTTATGAATATTTATTACCCTATTTTTACCTGAAAATTGAATAATTCAATTAATTTTACTGTTAATTACTTAATACAAAATTAATGCACTGCAAGATTCTAACTTCTCTTTAGGAAGCCCCCGATAAAGATATCCAAGAGAAAACACATTCGCTAAGCGAGGCTGGCGGACAGGTAGGGAGCGGGGCGCGCTCCTGGGGCAATGGGCGCGGGACGGGAGGCGGTGGGGGGGCCCCGCCCCCCCCCCGCCTCTCTCGGCAGAGCGGGGTCGATCCTCCGCAGCCACCTCCCTGTGCCAGCGGGACCCGTCGATGCCGACCCCATCCCAGCCCCAGCCCCGGCTCCAGCGAGAGCAGGGCTCGCCCGGGGAGACGGGTGCCTTTCTTCTCACTTTCACGTCCCCCCGGGCAGCTCTGCTGAAACAATAATCGCATCAGGTCTTCCTGCCATGCTCCCTCTAAATCTCATTGCAGACCGGTACCCTCCGCTCCAGCCTAGACACGAGCCCACATTTAATGTACCAAATTGAATTTTTCAGGAAATTTCAAAACTCTGGAGCCAGCAAAAATCGCTAAAACAGTAACCGAGGAAAATGACTGTTGTGAGTGCATTTGCAATTGGGAAAAGTGATTTCTAGCCCGTCTAATGTAATCTGCATCTCCTGTTTCAGCCACCAGCACCAGCCAAAGCTGAGGTGGAGAAATGGTAGGACAGTCCTCTCCAAAGCACGACGCCTATGACGAAAGAAAGCCGAGTTACTTATTTTTCTGCTTTTCGCTGCCTCGTCTGGCCCTCAGGACCTGAGCTGGGCCAGCTCCCCCGAGGTCTCAGCGGAGGGTGGGGGCTGTGAAGCATCCACAACCCCCCCCACAGCCCAGCCCAG